ACCCTAAGCCATTGCCCACTCCCAGTCCCTCAATCCCTCCAGCCCCAGGCAATCACCAATCTACTCTCTTCTCTATATACTAGAGGCCCAGTGCACGAAATTCATGCACGGGCAGGGTCCCTAGGCCTGGCTGGTGATCAGGGCCGATTGGGGCCTTCCAGCTGCCTGCTGGGACCTTCCTTCATTCCCAGCCCCTGGTAGTCAGCACACATCATAGCGAGTGATCGAACTCCCGGTCTCCCAGTCGAACTCCCGAGGGGACACTTTGCATATTAGCCTTTTATATATATAGATTTGCCTCTTTGGGACAGTTCATATAAATGAAATTATGCAACATGGGGTCTTTTGTGACTGGCTTCTTTCATTGAGTATAATGTTTTCAAGGTTCACCCATGTTGTAGCGTGTACTGGTACTTCACTCATTGTTATTGCTGAATATTTTGTTTTATGGGATATACCACATTTTATTTATACATTCATCAGTTGATGGACTTTTGGCTACTATGAATAATGCTGCTATGAACATTCCTGTACACATTTTTGTGTGGTCACATGGTTTCATTCCTGCTGGGTGTATACCTGGAGTGGAGTTGCTGGGTCATGTGGTAACTGTTCATGAGCCCAGCTTCTAGTCTGGCTTTCTCAGACCCTGGGGTGCTGATGGGGAAAGACTTGCCATGTCCATTGCCCGGGGTCTGGGGATCAAGTCCTCCCTTCCACTTTCCAGGTCTTTCTGTGAGATGCTGTGGTTGAGAGGGTCAATGGATTCTAATTCCTGCTCCACCATCGGCTTGCTGGGTGATGTCGAGTGAGCTGTCTGACATCTCTGCACCTTGGTTTCCCCAGTGGGGAAATGGGATGATCCTCTCTATGGCCTGTTCTGAAGATTGGCTGAGATGACAAAAGCCCAGCTTTATGTTCACTCATTCAACGTGTTCATTGCTGACGGACGTGCCTCACGCTGTTCACAGCAAATGAGACGCACAAGCCCTAGCCCTGCAGTCTCGTGTTTACATGCGTAACATCTTGTTTAAGCCTCACAGTATCCCTGGAGGTGTACCTACTGGGATCCCTCTCCCAGAAGAAGAATGGAGAGAACTCTGGAGCTGAGCCCCTCTCCTCCATCCCCCATCTGGACTTAAGTTTAGAACCTCTGAAAACCAAATGTTTTGAAATTTTATGGAAGTAGACCAGACATACAAAGAGAGGACCATTATATAACAATACAGTTGGCACATTTTCACAGTCTGAGTGCCTGTTTACCTAGCACCCAGATGAAGAAAATCAAACCATCCCATTCCCGCCTCCCCGCCGCCAGGGAAAACACGGCCCGACTTCTCACACACAGATGAGTTCCGCCTGCTCATGGACTGCATGTGAGCGGAACTCTGTTGAGAATAGTCTTTTGTGTCTGTTGCCTCTGCTCCACTTGAGGTCTGTGAGAGGCACGGTGCTGCGTGTCATTACAGATCCTGTGTTCTCAAGGCTGATACGCCATCATTTTTTGTTGTTGTTGTTAATCCTCACCCCAGGATATTTTTCCATTGATTTTTAGAGAGAGCGGGAAGGAGGGGGAGAGACAGAGAGAGAAACATCGATGTGAGAGAGACACATCAATTGGTTGCCTCCTGCCTGTGCGCCCCGACCAGGGCTGGGGATCCAGCCTGAGACCAAAGTACGTGCCCTTGACCGGAATCAAACCCGGGACCCTTCAGTCTGCGGGTGGACGCTCTATCCACTGAGCCAAGGCTAGGGATGATGCATCATCATTTTTTTTCATCTTTTCTGCTTTTAATGGGTCCCTTTGGATTTCGGCTCTTAAAACAGAACACAGGGCTTCACAGTTGTCCAGTTGTGTGTTTCTGGGTCTCTGCCCGGGCCTGTGGGGCAGGGAAGCAGGGAGGCCAGGAGAGTGCGCTGACCCAGTCCCGGCCTCACGGCGCACATGCCTCCAGGGGGCTGCGGCCTGGCCATCTACCCTCAGCTGCTCCTACTTAGATTCTATCAACATTCTGTTATTCTGGACTTGGCTTGAGGCCAAGGGGTGAGCTGGCAGGCATCCTAGGCAAACAAGAGCAGCTGGAGAGGAGAGGAACTCTGGGGGTGGGAAGATGGCCCCAATCAGACACCACGATGGCCACCAGGACTGTGTGGAGGCCTCTGCCCCACGTGTTCTGGAACCATTTGGGAAGGAGAATTCAGTGGAAATTGGGCCTCCTCTGGGCTATGTTCTGGGGACGGGAGGCAGCCTGGGTTCAAGTCCAGCTCTGTAGCGAGAGCTATAAACTGGGGGAAACATGACTCGGCTGTTTGAGGAGTAAGTGACTCAGTGCACATGACGGTTCCTGACCCTCAGAAAAGGCGGGTATTAGGGCTGCCATGTGCCGGGGGCAGCTCTGTTTTCCGTGCACCACTTTCCCAGACCTGCACGTTGGCCATGAAAGCAGACACCATCTCATCCTCACTCAACAGAGGAGGACCAGGAGGCACAGAGAGGCCGAGAACCTGCCTGAAGCCGTGCTGGGAATCCGTGGCAGAGCCAGGCTTTGATCCTGCATCTGTTTGACTCCAGAGCCCAGGCCCCTGGTGCCAGGGCTGTGAGCCGAGCTTGGAGGGGGCCCAGCAGCACTGAGCTGCCCTGTGGCAGTGCACGTGCGGACTGTACTGTGGGGCCCAGACTCGGCCCTCACATCTGGCTTGGCGAGCAGGATCTCAGGTTCATTTTCTCTGTCGACCAGCAGGGCCTTTCTCCTTCCTGGGCTCCTGGCTTGTGGGCTCCCCGGGGTGGAGCAGGCTTAGGGGCTGCTCAGGAGAGGCCTCTGAATCTGTCTAGCATTGGCAGACCTGCCCTGTGGGGGGTGGGCAGTCAGAGCTGGGAGCCAGAGTTGGCAGTCCTGAGTCCACTTGGTGGCCCCCTTTCAGGGGTGTGAGCCCTATCCTGCCTTCAGGGTGCTCCAGAATATAGGGCGCGCACACACAGCTGTTCTAACAGGCTGCGGAGTGTGGCAATGGGCTTTTGCAATGTGCTGAGGGGAGCCAGAGGTTGAAGCACTGACTGCAGTCCAGGAAGGCTTCACAGAGGAGGAGGGTTTTGAAGGCTGAGTAAGAGTTCCAAGGTGGAGATCATGGGAAGGGTGTTCTTCTCAGAGGAAGCAGTGTTAAGTATCAGCTACTCAACTCCATCCCCTCCTCCATCCCCAGTTGCCTAGTCATCTCTGTTTTCAGGGGGCGTGAGCCTGGAAATAATACTTTCCAGAGTCCCTGGCCAACTAGTTTCTGCGTAGGTTCTGCCAGTGGGGAGAAGGCAGGAGGACTTGGGTAGGCTTTGTAGACCCCAGCAGTTCTGTCGGTACCAGGGCCGCAGTGACAACCCCTCCAGCAGCGAGGTGGTGCGGACTGACGGGCTCCTGGGCTCCCGGGCTCTGTCCAGGTGGCAGCTCCTTCCCGATTTCTGGGTGACACTCCTGTTTGTGCTCTTCCGCCTTTCAGATGCCTCTGCCATCAGTTTCCCCAAAGAACTCGCTCCCTGCCTGAAGTGGCTAGTGGTTTCTGTTTCCAGTAAGTTAGTAACTGGTAAAATGCTCAGCAGTCCAGGCCAGAGCCAGGGTGTAGTGTGCAAGCAACAGAAGGATTCAACACCTGGATAACGGGATTCATTTATCTGGATTTATTGTTAGGAGCACGTCATGTCTTTCAACAGGGGTTCCCTGAGGACCGGAGACTGTCTTCTATCATCTATTCAGTCAACAAACATTAGTGGGGAATGAGGTGAATGACCAAGTCCCCACACTCCTGGAGTCACAGTCTGACATGGCACCATCCACCCATCCACTATGGTAGCCAGTAGCCACCTGTGGCCATGGAGACTTGAAATGCAGCCAGTCTGAGCGGAGACAGCTGTCAGTGTGAACTCTACACCACATTTCAAAGACAGTGTGTGAAAATAAGAATGTAAAGTGTCTCACTAATGAATTTCATATTGGTTACGTGATGAAGTAACAATATTTTGGACATATTAGATAAAGTGTATTTCACCTGTGTCTATTTTTTAAGTATATTTTTATTGATTTCAGAGAGGAAGGGAGAGGGAGAGATAGAAACATCAATGATGAGAGAGAATCACTGATGTCCGTCCCATACTGGGGATTGAGCCCACAACTTGGGCATGTGCCCAGACTGGGAATCAAACCATGACCTCCTGGTTCATAGGCCGATGCTCAACCATTGGGCCACGCTGGCAGGGTTCTTTACTCTTTTTAATGTGGCTTATGTTACATTTCTTTTGGACGGCACTGGTTTTATGAGAGCTGAGTTCAAATACTTTGATTTACCAATTCAGTATTTATTAATGTCTATTTAAGACAGCGGTTCTCAACCTGTGGGTCGTGACCCCTTTGGGGGCCGAACGACCCTTTCACACGGGTCGCCTAAGACCATTGGAAACACATATATAATTACATATTGTTTTTGTGATTAATCACTATGCTTTAATTATGTTCAATTGGTAACAATGAAATTGGGGGTCACCACAACATGAGGAACTGTATTAAAGGTTGAGGACCACTGATTTAAGAGAAACGTGGTCTCTGCCCCTGAGAACGTCATATAGAATGGCAAGGGAGACAGATATACCAACATGGAACGAAAACTCACTGATAAATGTTTGAGTTGGTCCACGTTTCAGGGCTCTGGGGGCCTGAGGAGAAATCTGTGAAGGCCTCACAGAGTTAAGCATTAGGGGATGAGAAGGAGTTCGTAAGACGGGCAAGGAAGGGGAAGGACACGAGGTTCAGGGAACTAGACATGCAAAAGCTAAGAAGTTGGCAAGTACTCAGGGTTGGGGAGATACAGGAAGTTCATTGTGGCCCAAACATGTTTTGTTTGAGAAAGAGGCTGGAGAGCCTTGAATGCCAGTCAAGTCTGGACCTGGCTGGTCCCAGTGTGAATGAGCTCACCCACTCACCCTCCTCAAAAGCATGAAAAGAACCAGACGGACCTTATTTGAATGTGCAAAATAAACTCTTTTATTTCAGTGCTCGCTCCCTGTGGCTCAAAAGCATATCTACTGCCTGATTGGAACCCCAAAGCGTGTATAAAACCATAGAGAAACAGAGCAGTATATAAAACAGATGTGTCGGCTCATTTTGTGACTCTTCCCCTGTGCGAAGCAGCCAGTTCTAAGTGCATCAGCGTGACTCTCCCCGAGGCCCTGGCTGGGCTTTGGGGGACCCTGTTTGGCTGGGACCCCACTCCAGACGGAGAATGCTCCCTTTTCCCTCCTCCAGCCCTAGGGAGACCTTAGTCACATGGGGAGTGTGGGGGATTAAGCCAGAGATGACAGCTCATAGCTCTCTGAGCTGTGTTCCAGGGCCCCGGTCCTGCAAAGAGGGGGCGGCTGAGTGCGGACCCTCTCGGTTAGTGAGCAGCACAGGCAGCTAAGGCTCTTGTGAAGTCTAGACATTGCGGTGGGCAGGCTCATGGGTAGGACAGGGGCCTCTGGGGCTCTTTTCCCTTGGGACTGGGGTCTGATGGAAGGTGCCTGGGCACAGGTGTGGGGCCTGGATAGGCTGGGGCAGAGCGGTGGTCCTGGTCATGGTTTCACTCTTAGAAACACCCGGGCACGTGGCCTAAGCTCTGTGCAGCCAGGGAGTAGGACTTGCTGGGTCATACATGGCATCAGGAGAGCTGAGAGGGCCTCGGAGGTGAGGACAGCAAGGCCCAGAGAGGGGAAGGCAGCGGCTGGCCGCACCTGGGGCTCTGACCGCTCCCAATCCTTTCCCACTTCCTCACCCCACCTGGGTCCTTTTGGATCAGGTCCCAGATGGCCTCTCTGACACTCACAGGTCAGGGCTGGTGGCAAGGACAGGGCGCTGGACTCGGAGTCAGAGGCCTGTGCTCCATCCCCAGGCCTTCACATTACCCAGCCTTTGGAATACCCACAAGCCCGCCTGTGCACACGGGCCACCTCCCTTCTCCGAGGCCCGGTCTCCTCCTTGAGAAATCAGCTCCCATTCTGCAGTTTTCCGTGGTGATTAAACGGGTTGGCAGCCACGAGAGTACCAGCTAGTACAGGAGGCACCTGCACGTAGGGGCTTCACAATCGTGAGGAGGGTGGGGGAGCTGTGGGCCAGAGCTTCTGGGATGTGGGAGGAGCTCAAGCCTGTCCTGAACCTGGGACCCTCCCCATCCCCACCTGTGCTGGCTTCCCCAAGGACCTCTGGGGCCTGGGCACAGTCTGGGGAAGGGGCACAGGACACACTAGGGTGTGGAGTTCCTTGATCCAGCCAACTCTGGAGACTATCTCATAGTCTCATTTTTGCTCCAAGGGACTGCGGTATAGATCAGACAGTGTGGTGGGTGGTCAGTTGCTTTCCAAATGGCATCTGGGCTGGAGGGGGAGGCATGGATCTCTTTTTCTCCACCCCAAGCCCAGTCAACCCCACTGTGGAGGCACAGAACATCGCTCATGGGTAAGGGGGTGGGAACCAGGCTCAGGGGACAAGGTGGGTCTGGGGCCCATTTTCCTCATTAGCTTGGGATAAAGATTGGGGATCAAGTTGGGGGCTGTGGGCTGGCTGAGATGGAGCTGGGCACGGGAGCCCCTTAGGGAGGGCCAATGATGACGTTCCGGTAGCCCTTCACGGCTTTCAGCTTGTTGCTGTCGAAGTTGACCACCAGCTTGTGGAGGCCCACTTGGACAGGCAGCAGGTCCACTCTGACCTTGACTTCCTGCCCTGCCTCCACGGGGTCTGGGCTGTGGAGAGAGAGAAGGAGGCTGAGGAGATGCCAAGCCCAGTGTCCACGGAGGGGTCAGGCCAGAATGACGTGTGGATACAGAGAACTTAGCACAGAGCCTCTGTACAGCTTAATGCTGACAATAATGACAGTAATAAATGGATCCACTGCTCTCCGGGGCCTGGGCAGCCTGCTTTGTATAGAGAGGTGTGTGTGTGCGTGTGTGTGTGTGTGTGTGCGCGCGCGCTCATGCACACATGGAAGTGGATGGTGTGCTTGTGTGTGTGTGTGTGTGTGCGTGTGCGTGTGTGTGTGCGCGCACGCTCATGCACACATGGAAGTGGATGGTGTGCTTGTAGTAAGAGGGGGTGTGCTCAGGTGACCACATGCGTGAAAATGCATTGAGCTGTACATGTGTGATTTGGGTTCTTTACTGTATGTAAGTTACATTACAATAATAAAGTGAAAAATAAGTGTATGTGCTCATATGTGCATCTAGGACACACGTGTAGACACTCAGGGTGCAGATGCCTGTGTTTATGTGAGGGCCTGTGCGTTGGGGCAGGTGTTTAGTGACAGGATGTGTAATTGTTCCGGTTTGTGAGACACATGCATGGAACACAGGGGTGTGGGTGTTGAGAGGATGAGAGGGGGGGACTCTGCCCCAGGGGTACTCAGGCAGGGGTGGGTAGGTGTATGGATGAGAGGAGGGGTTATGGGCCTGAGTGTGGTGCCCCCATCAGCATCTGCCCTCGGCTCCCAGTCCCCAGGCTGGAGTGACCGACACTTACATGTCCACGGTCTTCTGTGTCTCGGTCAGGCCAGCCCCCTCCACAGTGACGGTGCAGCCCTCCAGGGGCTCGGTGAGCGGGTTCTGCAGGGACACCTCGGCCACCAGCTTGCGGTTCTTCTTGGGCTCCCCCAGGATCTGGGGCAGGGCACAGGGCAGAGGTAAGGGACAGCATTGAGGGAGGGCCCAGAACCCCTCCAGGGCAGGCAGGGTCCCGGCTGGGCCATCCCGGTCTTTGCTGCAATTTGGTCCAATGTTTGCTGGACACAGTCATGCCCATCCTGCCACTCTCACTCCTGACCTCCGTGCCTCAGTTTCCCCATCTGGAAAACACAGGTGATGATCCTGGCCCGGCCTCCTTCATGGAGCTGCAGGGAGGCGCCACACAACCCAGAGGGGCTCTACTCTCCCTTGTTCCAGGGCCTAGAGTGAGACGATCACAGGCTTTGGAGCCAGCCGATCTCTGCCCCTTCCTCGCTGTGTGACCCCGAAAGTCACTACCCTCTCTGAGCCTTGGTTTCTTCACGGGAGAGAAATGCCTGGCTGCAGGTTCTCATAAGGATAACGTGCAAATAACGAGCAAATAACGTGCAAGCTCCTAGCAGAGTATCTGGCACACAGTGCTCACTCCCTCACGCTCTGCTCTTCACCATTTATTCGTAACTGCTGCATTTGGGGTCCTGAGTGGCTCCTTGAAGTCAATCACTACGATGACAATGATGATGGTGACAATAGTCAGTTTTTATTGGGCGCTTACAATGCACTGTATAGGTTCTATGTGCTTCTTGTGGATGCACATTTAATCCTTATAACGCCCACCTTAAGATGAATAAACTGAGGCACGGAGGGGCAGAGAAGTATGCCCAGGGCCACCCAGCCACAAAGCCAGGCAGCCAGACTTCAGAGTCTATGCCCTTGACTTCCCTACGCTCCCTGTCCCACCAGGGTCCCAGGCTCTGGGGATCTAGCCTTCGGAGGCTAGCTTTTAAGGGTCCATGACTCTGCGATCCCTAAATGCCATGACTCTACCACGCTGAGATTCTAAGATTCACTCCTAGAGGCTACATGAGGCTCAAATTCTTTTGGCTTCATGATGCTTTTCATGAAGATCCCTGAAGTGTCAACGAGCTTGAGGGTGCAGGGATGCAGGTGCACGAGGCCTGCCCTCTCCCAGCTCTGGGCTTGCCCTGGGACCCTGCCCAGCCAGCCCCTTACCCGGATCTTGATTTCTGGATTCTCCAGATAGATGTCCCTCTCGGCCAGCAGGTAGGTGTCGGCAGCTGGCTCGATGAGGAGGCCCCGCACCTTGATGAGGTTCGACTCCGTCAGGTAGCCACAGTACTCCTCATAGAGGATTGGAAGGGAGATGCTTTTCTCTGCAGGGGGGAGGCGAGAGCACACTTAATGACCAAGACACCTCTCCTCTTGCATTTCCACCGGCACAGAGAGGGCAAGGAATGAGCTCACACAGCGGGAGGATGGCTGGGCAGGTCCCAGGCCTTTCCCCTGCCTGCCCTGGCTCCAGGGTGCCCAGGGAGGAGGTGGGCAGGGGAAGTAAAACAGCTGGTAGGGGAAGGCCTGGAGCTCTGACAGGCCTGGTGCTGATCCTGCCTCCCCCCCTTTGCTCACAGGGATGCTGGGCAAGTCACTCGGCCAGTCAGGACCTCGCTTTCCCCCATGAGGCCGATAAGACTGTGCCATTTGATAGACGAAGAAACACTTCTGCCAGTAGGGGCTCAGATCAGGAGACCTGGCCCTGGTTGGCCAATGACGGGCTGTGTGAGCCTGGGAAGATGACCTCCTCTCTCTGTTTTTTCTGTTGCCTCTTGTTTCCCCAGACAACCGGCACCTTTAACGCTGGCAGCGCTAAGACGAGAGGTCCTTTCAGAGCAAAAGCCACACAGCAATGCGGGAGTAAGAGAGAAGGAACCAGGGTCACCCCTCCTACTGCAGAGAAACCAAGTGTGATTGTCAGCCCATTATTCTGACAAGAACACTGAGGCCTGTAGGGGGCAGGAAAGAGCAGGGAAAAGGACACAGGACTGAGAATACGCAAGCCTGAGCCAGGCCCTGCTTGTCCCATTGGTCACAGGGAGCCTTGGACAGATCCCTGTTTCTTGGGCTTCCCCTGCCACACAGGATTGCTGGAGGGAGGGTCCCTGGGCTCCATCATCACCCCAGTGCCTCTCTCCATCGTCCCTGACAGGAGATGCTGGTGCCTCTTTTTCTGCCATCTGGCCCCTTCCTCCCCCCACTAGACCAGCATTTCCCAAACTCCAGCCATTCACGATTTTTCACACATCAGAGAGTATCCTAATTCTTTGCTCATTATTTTTCTTTCAGTCCACTCATTTATATTTTCTAGCCTATTCTAACCAGGGAAATTTTTCATCATCCTTTGCAGCAAACCAGTCTCATTTACCATAAATAGAAGGTAACTGGTAAAAATAAATACCAGCTAAGTCATGCTTATTCAATTCCGGTGAGCTATCTTGTCAGCTAAGGGCTCTCAGTCTGAGACCTGAGCTTACTGTTCAAAAGGGCGATTAGCAAGGGTTGGGATGCTAAGACCCGTCCCCTGTGAGGTCATCTGAAGGAGCGTGAAGAGCTGAGAGAGTCACTTTCTCGCACTGATGGTCCACATCCCACCCTTTGGAAAATACTGCCTCCTTGTGCCCAGCCCTCCAGCCATTCATTCCCAGGGTGGATCTGCCCCAACCTCTGATCAGATGACATTAGGGGAAGAAAAGCAAATCCTCCGCCAAAAGGGACCAAAAGGAGTGAAAATTCCTGGTGGGGCAGAGTGGAAAGTCTGACCAACTCCACAGGAAAGAAAGGGAACATTGTCATCCAGGAGCTTCGAGGACACGGCCCAACTTTTTTTTCTGTTGCCTCTTTTCCAGGAGGCTGAACCGGGTGGGGTTGGACCTTCCAGGAGGCTGAACCGGGTGGGGTTGGACCTTCGAGAACTGCCTTCTGTCGCAGGGACCACGGCAGGGACCACGGCCTTGGCCTTGGGCCAGGTGCTGGCCGAGAGAAGGAAACTTGTCCGGTGGTTTCAGTCATTCCTTAATGATTTGCCTGTTCTGGAGGGTGCTGTGGGCAGGCGTGATCACCAATTGGCTGCATTCCCAGTGACCACCGGGAGGGGTGAGGGAGGAGAGAGAGAGATAGGGAGGGGCAGGAAGGGGAGGGAGAGAAGCAGCAGGGCAAGGAGGCAGGGGTGGGGGCAACTGGATTCTGTTCTGCTGTCCTAGGCCCAGCTTCCTGTCCATTAGCACATGGAAATCCCCCAGATCTAATCTTCCGAGAATCATGTGCAACTCAGCCAAAGTGTGGGGTTTTTAAGAGTCACAGAATCTGCCTCAGGTTGAGCTTGGCACTGGAGGCCCCACGGGGCACCTGGACTAGCTCCACCTCACAGCCTGAGGATACCGTCCTCTGCCCGCTCCCTGCAGGCTGTGCCCTTGTGGGTCCCTGACCCCCTGTTGGGAACACATCCCCAGGATGAGGAGAAACAGCAACAGGCTTGGTGGGAGGCTCTCCGGAACAGTGCTCCGTGGGCCCGATGGCATCTGGGCGGCAAAGAGGCCCGGGAGGAAATCATTATCCCTGGTCCAGGCTGAAGTTCACGTCTTGCCACACATTCTAGGAAGGACACTTCCTCCCTTTGAAGTGGTCCCGAGCCCAAGAAGGAAATGACATGAATGCATCCTAACAAGTGGGCCAAAGGGCTCTACAAAGATGAATCAGACTTTGACCAAACGGGGAACCTGAGGCCTGGGATGGAGAAGAGAAACACCCCGGCACCCACAGCCCGTCAGCAGAATTGGGTGTTCTGACACCCCACACACCTGACACGTAGGGCCCGGATGCTTAGGGCCAAGCTGGGCCCTTGCCGTGTCATCCAGGGCTGCAGGGCTCAGGCCCCACTGCGCCCAGCACGGAGACCACTACCTGGCACAGCAGGTGATCAGGAAAGGCCTGGGGGCTTCTCGCCTCCCACACCTGTTTGCACTTCTGCTCATCGAGGAGTGAAGGCCCCCCACGCCCGGCACCACTTTATACTTTCCGGCCAGCTCCTGAGCACCTGAGCACATGTCCTCACAGGGGCCCGTTAGGTGGGCATGTTGTTGCTCCAATTAATGGGTGAGTATGGGTTGTGGCTCAGGCAGCTTGGCCACCTGCCCAAGGTCATACATTTAGGCGGTGGTAGTGGCCACATGCAAAGCCAGTCTGACTGGCCTCAGAATGCATCTTTCAACAGTGTAAGTGTTGGGACCCCAGCCCTAGTGCCAAGTGACTCTGTCCGGAGGGCTTGGCCCTGCTCAGGGACCCTGACCGAGCGTCTGCTCTGGACATGCGGCTCCAGGAGTGCCCATGTGGTTCCCAAGACAAAACCAGGAGGTGGCACTGTCAGTCCCATAGATCCCCGGCCTGAAACACAGACAGGCCTCCCTAGCACCTGGATGGCTGTGCCCCACACGCCAGCCCACGGGGCCAAGGGCCGAAGGCTGACAGGCAAGAGGAGAGGGAGGGCCCCCCTGCATAAACACAGAGCGCTCCTGCCCTGGGCCTCGCACAGCTCTGCGTACTAGCATAGTCCCAGGTATGAAGTGGCTACGGTGTGCCCGCCTCTTGCTGGCCAGACAGTCCCACACTATCAGGTCATGACTCTCCTGTCTCTGAGGGGGACACGGAGGTTCAGCTAGAAGGACCCTCAGAGGACCGTCAGTGTCTCACTCCACTGCCCCAAGGTCCTCTCCCAGCTCCATGACCCCTCTGCCCTTCTCATGCCTCTGGCTCCTAATGCAAAAGGCAGGACTGGGCTCCTGGGTGGCGGGAGGAGGGTTCTGTGCCGCCTTACCAAGTGACCTCAGCAGCGGCCACAACCCCTCTCAGGGTCTCAGGCTTATTTGCCCATTTTCCAAAGTGAACTCCTATGCATCCCTCAAGACCCAGCCCCAGATGACCCCTTCTTAAGGAAGACAACCCGGCATGGTGACAAAGCTGGGCAACAAAAGGGACCAAGGAGACGACCGTGCAGGCAGAGGCTCTGCCCAGGGCTGAGGGCTGGGTCATCTACTGACATTATTTTACCCCAAAACAGGGGAGACACGGAACTAAGGAGGGAAGGGAAGGGGGTCTGCCTTACAGGGTGGACGGGACAGGCGCTAGGGCTAAACATTTATGAGGAGACAATCAGGGCCAGGAGGAAAACCTTCTCTCTGCAGCGGACTGGACCGTTTCTCCTGTCACCACGACAGCTTCACTGTCCGATGTGGCAGCTTCTGGCCACACGCGGCTGTTTACAAAGTGAAATGGAAACTTCAGTTCCGCAGTTGCGCCAGCGGCATGTCAAGTGCTCAGCAGCCACATGGCCTTAGCGTTGGTCTAGCACAGTGGTTCTCAACCTTCTGGCCCTTTAAATACAGTTCCTCATGTTGTGACCCAACCATAAAATTATTTTCGTTGCTACTTCCTAACTGTAATGTTGCTACTGTTATGAATCGTAATGTAAATATCTGATATGCAGGCTGGTCTTAGGCGACCCCTGTGAAAGGGTCGTTCGACCGCCAAAGGGGTCGCGACCCACAGGTTGAGAACCGCTGGTCTAGACCCTCTTCTCTCAGAGGTTGGGAACCTCCAGAGGAGAGAGGCTCCTGGGTGTGGGAGTTGCTGGAGACGGAGGAAAGGAATTAGCGGGGAGAGAGCAGTCGAGAGTCTGGGAAAGCAGTCGGAGTCCGAGAACATGAGATGGAACAAAGCAGTGTAGCTGCTGACAGCACAGGTTCGAGTCTCAGTCCTGCCACATCCCGACTGTGTGGTCTTGAGAAAGTGACTTAACCACTCTGTGCTCCGTCTTCTCCCCTGGAAAATGGGGAGGTAAACGGCACACGCTCAGGGCGCAGGGCCCTTCCTAGCACGTCAGTCTGTGGTCAATAACTGATCCAGGAACAAAGGGCCTTACCGGAATCGGGCTCCAGGGAAAGGTCGAGCAGGTTCTTGGAGCTGCACACCGGCCCCAGCGTCCCGTTGGAGCTGACAGGGCGAGCGCAGAGCAGGAGGCGGCAGGCGTGGCTCTCTGCAGTGTTGTTGGTGATGTGGGCAAAGACGTCGAAGTCGCTGCCCATTTTCATGCTTCGGGCCACGCGGATCCGCATGGCCACCCCCGTCTCCTCTTTAGCTTCCAGCTTGTTCAGGTTGTTGGCCTTCCTGAAGGCCTCCCTCTCCTCTGGGGACCCTGTGGGGATAGGCAAGACATCCTGTCAAACCATCCTCTCTAGACCTTTCAGAGGCCCGGGAACACCTCTTCCTTCTGTGTTACCCTTTCCACCCAGAGCACGGCCACGGAACCCCCAACCCCCAGCCAGCCCTGGAAAGTCAGTGCGGGCCAGATGTGGGCCGGGGTCTGGTTTCCTCGTCATCCCTGTGAGCCCCACTGTGCTGGGCAGATGCTTAGAAACATCAATCGTATTGGATTGGCTGTCAGATGCGCCCGATCCAATTTTAAAAATAATCCACATCCTTCCCCCCACCTCCTCCTACTGATTTAACATTAGCAACAGAAAGAAGTCTTATTTTTGTGCCTGATTGAACCCATCTTATCTTTAAATCTCTCTTGGTCCATTTCTCTTTCATCTCACCCCTCCCCATCCACCATCCTGCGCACTTCCCCAGCTGTCTGAGAACTACTGCAAAAATAAACACGACTGAGTTTCAGAAACCTCCTCCAGGGCCCCCTGGATTTCCAAGCCTCACAAGTTGAAAAAGTGTGGAACTGCCCACCTACAGCTGTAGGTCCCATAGCTGGTAAGCGCTGTTAACACACAACATGGACATCATTCATTTTTGTTACGATGCATGCCTCTCCTATATAACAGACACCCTCTTCAGTTTTATTGAGTCAAGCCAACCCCCCAAAAAGTGAGGCTTAAAGACCAAATGGAATCCTTTTGTGGAATATAGAATTATTTTCCTAAACAAATTATCCTCTACCACCGTCTTCCAGTGTGTTTGGTAAGTATAACCTGTTCCTAAGGAGTTTTTTGGAACGGAGAGTAACCTACAGGTCATTGTATGCAGACTGCCAAATCACACACACACACACACACACACACACACACACACACACACACTCGCCAGGCTGGTAAAACCGGCAGCTTATCTGCAAGGCAGTGTCGAAGGCCCTGGGCACCTACCCTCTGGGTACTTATAGTTGTGGGTGATGTCCTCCCGCTGGTCACGGCCCACACTCTTCGTGCTGATCTTCAGCCCCACCATCATGGAGTTGTTGATGGACTTGTGCATGGACCCATCCTCCTGCCGGATCCATTCCACCACATCGGCATTGACCTCGGCAAAGACAAAAGGGGCGTCGTACTTGGGGCTCAGGTCGCCTTCCTTGATGGCACGAACTGGAACCGGGCCACAGCAGTATGTCCCTGGTTGGGGGAAAGAGGAGGCAGACATGGACCTGGGATGAGGGGAGGATGGCACCCTCCAAAACCTTCCACAAGTCAACCACACGCGGAAAAACGTCTCGAGGCCATAAAGCCCTTTGGCTCAGGGACTCCACTGCTAGGAAAGCATCATAGGTAAGAATGAAGGATCGAGACTCTGGAGCCCAGCTTTTAGGGTTCAAATCATAGCTCTTATTAGCTGTGTGACGTTGAAGCAGTTACTTAACTTCTCGGAGCCTCGGTTTCCTGTTGGGGATGCTATTTATACCTCCCTAATGAGGATTTGCATATACGAGGTGCTATGTAAGTGATAGATAAATAGAAGGATATCCCAAAGCACCCAAAGGAACCGAGGGAGCCACGCAGCTGGCCGTATGTGAGAAGGCAGGGCCTCTGTCTGGTACAACACCCGCGCCAATGTTTATCTCAGCGTGGTTTACAGCTGCCTCAAACTGGTCACACATCTGAAAGTTGAGGACTGGAGGCGTCCATTTGATGGAACACAGTAACACGAAATTCAAATTCAAATCACAGAAACTGCCTCAAACTGGTCACACATCTGAAAGTTGAGGACTGGAGGCTGGGTAACTGTATTATGGTGCGTCCATTTGATGGAACACAGTAACACGGAATTCAAATTCAAATCACAGAAACTTCAGGGTAGAGAAATGCTAATGACATACGGAAAAGTGACAAACTAGCATGAAAGGCCACATATAGCCAGAGCTCTTAACCTGGAGTCCACGGACCCCCAAGGTGCAACGAATAGAATTCAGGGGTCCGTGAACTTGGATGGGGGAAGATGAGGTCTTTCTCTTCACTGTACTGTGGCAGCATTTCCTTCGACTGTGGAAGCAGCAAACCATAATCTTAGCTGCACTTATGACTCATCACCCATAAAACCACAGATACTTCCATAGCACTTCATAGTGGTCACCGATAATTGGAGATAACGTTTATGCTCATCCTTGCTACCAAGTTACCTAATGTATTAATTCTACCACTAGATCTTGTTATATGAAACCTATACGATTACATTACAAATTTATTTTTAACATCTTTTGATAACTCTAGTTCAGTGTAATTGGTTGACTTTGTAAACCCTAGGTATTATGTCCTATGAATTGGCTTCACCAATTTTGCCGTGGTTCTCTCTTCCTCGCCTGCACACACATATGCAAACAAGCATATAATTGGAGGTGACTGTGTGAGAATGTTAACGATGCTTTGTGTGGAGGGAGAGGACAAGTTGCTATTTGATATTTTCTTTATGCTTCTCCCTTTTCCACAGCAGGCAGGGGTGACGTTTCATATTACATCAGTGCGGTCCCCACATTAGATGGGCCAGTCAGTGACCTTCGGGGTCAGCCAGACTTGGGTTAGAATGCCAGCCCTGTGCTCTCCAGCGGAGGGACTCTGAGTAGTGCTCTCTGAGCCTCAGTTTTCTCATCTAGGCAATGAGGACACACCTACCCACCTTCACTCTTCTCCTGGGGCGTGGGGTCGAGGGCCTGCCACCCCTCATAGCCCGGCTGCAGGTCGGGCCTGGTCATCCACGACTCCACCCAGCAGTGGAAGTTCCTGTTGGGAAGCGAAGCGGAACGTTGGCCAGGACTCACACTCAGGCTTTCATCCCCTCCCCACCGTCCACACTCGCCTCGTCCTCAGCTGGGCCCACCTGGCCCCCTGACACTCCTCTTTGCTCTTCCCTCTGTGGGCCCTGGCCAGGTGCTCACGCCTGCACTGAGTGTCATTCTCAATGCCTCTCCCACCGCCCGATGTTCAGCTGATGTTCAGCTGAGGTTTCCTCCTAATTTCTCGGTACACTGAGTGTCATTCTCAATGCCTCTCCCACCGCCCGACCCTTTCAGTGGCTCCTGATGTTCAGCTGAGGTTTCCTCCTAATTTCTCGGTCCCGTCCCTTCTTTTCCAGCCTCTGGAAACAGGCTGTGCCTTGGTTCAGGCCTCATCCCCAGCTGCCTGGACCACACCCCACCTCCGGTCTCTCCCTCCAGACCTGCTCCAAGGTGGCCAGCCTGTCCCGCTCCCAGTTGGAAGCCGTGGGTGAGGTGACAGCCGCTGCCACTGGAGGCCAGGCCCCTGTCCTGGCCTCCAGAATCCCGACAACGCTACTCCCTGAGGCCATCCACGCATCGTGCTGACTTTTCTCCTCTTGGCCTTTGCTCATGCTGTTCCCCCTGCCTGGAGAGCCCTCCCCACACCCCGTTTCCCCCTCGTGCAAACTCTGTTCAGATTTGAAACCCAATTCAAATGTGACCTCCTCTGAGAAGCCTTCCCAGATCTCCTCTCCTGGAGACCACAGGGCCCTCCCCGCAACCTGGGCCCCACCTCACCAGATCATCTCGCTCTTGTTCCTCTCGAATTCCCCAAACTCGTTGCGGAAGTACTCGATGAGCAGGTTGCTGTTCGAGTCATGGGCCGAGTTGTAGTTGGTCACGACTCGGGTGGGGATCCCCAGGCACCGCAGCACTGGGAGGGGGGACACGGCAGAGAGAGGGGTTAGGGATCGGGCTGAGGACCTGAAGACATGCCCATCTGTACCCCAGCGAAGACTGCACCCACCATCCAAGTGATAAGGGTGTGTCATCCCCTTGCCCAGACAATGGTGCCCACCTTGCTAGTCGCCCCATGCCCACTCTGTACCCTCAGCTAACAGAAGAAACCTCTAAAATGCAAATCTGACATCAACATGCCTCTGCTAGACCTGCAATGGCTCCCCGTGGTCTTTGAGGTCAAGGCCAGACCTCTGGCTGTGGCCCCCTGGCCTTGCAGGATCTGGCCCCTGACAGCCTCCTGCACACTTTGCTCCAGCCACATTGGCCTCCTCACTGCTCCTCCAGCATCCACACTCCCACCAGCCGCAGGGCATTGGCATGTGCTGTCTCTCCTCCAGGAAAGCCACCTCGCTGGGTTTAAATTGCCCCATTGTTTGCATTCATACCAAGACTAGGGATTCATCATCATTCCCCATGGGCGGGCACGTGAGGGGTCTTTAATTAGTCCTCTGAGGCAGGGAGGGATCTGTCTTATTTGATATCCCCAGAGCTCAGCGTAGGCCTGGCACATACTATCTTGTCCAATGAGATGAAGGTGTGGGTGAAGTAGAGAGAGGAGGAGGGAGGGAGGAAGGGAGGAATGAAGGAATGATAGAGATTCAGAGTGGGGGGCAAGCAGTGAAATAGGCAGAAGAGGAAGCAGAGGTCAGAAGACCTTCCATTCAAGCTCTCGCTGTTTCCAGCTGTGTGACCTGGGGCCAGTCCCTTCACCTCTCTGGGCCTTGTCTCCTCTTCTATGAAATAAGGTCAGGGTGCAGGTGCAGTGTCATCAGATGTGTTGGGACACAGTCATGGATGAGGAGGGCCCTGTATTTACTCCAAAGCACATGGAGAGGAGAGAATCCCAGGCATGAATCTTGCCCGAATGGCGGTACTGAGTGCTCCTGACAGATGGAATTATGGGGCTTTTACTTCCCCATCTTTCAGGTGCTTTTTAATATATATTGTAAAAGCAACACACTCTCAGGGTAGGATAAAGAAAGTAAATAGCTAAAAAAAAAAAAAAAAAAAAAGAAGTGAAGCAAAAAAGCCCTGCCAACATGACCTACAGGACTCTTGTTTCGCTTTTAGTTTTGACCGAGGTTGAATTGCTAAATCAGGGGAGGGGCAGGGATGTGAACTTTGCCTGCCATCAACTAGGGCCCAGGGTTCTGGCCAGATGTGTGGGCGTTAGGAGGCGGGAAAGGAGCAGCATGAATCCCCACCTCTTGCCTGGTTCCTGTGCCCTGAGGCCTGGGCAGAGACCAGACTCGCTGCTGCCTCAGCGAAGGCTGGTGGCCCAAACCTTGCCCCGCCATGCCACCAGAATCCTGTCCTCACTGCCCAAGGAGCAAGGTATCATCCCTGTCCTCACGGATGGTGTCTGGGAAGCCTCCATCACAGTCTATGGCCAGGAGGCTTCCCCCAAGTCAAGTCCAGCTGTGCCACTCACCACCAGCTGTGTGACCTCGGACAAGACACTTGCCCTCTCTGAGCCTTCATTTCCTCCTCTGAGAGGAGCTAATAATAGTTGCTTGTCTGGATGTTGTGATGACTCAGAGAGGTGCTGGGTATGGGCAGTCTAGTCTGCCAGTGCCCAGGGTGGACCAGCAAAGTGTGTCACGGTGCCCTGCAAATGTCTGTCTGCCAGTGTTGGCCAACTCGCAGACACGGAGAAAATGCCCCAGGATCCAGATGAGGAATCACAGCTTCCCCTGACAACCCCCAACCCAAACTAACCTGAGCCCGAGACAGTGCTAAGGATCCTACAAGCTTCCTGTGAATTGGGTTGGTCACCACTGTCTCCATTCTACAGGTGAGGAAACTGAGGCTTGGAGACACCAATTCTCGTGCCCAAGTCCACCCAGGGGCTGGAGGTGGAGCTGGGATCAAACTAGGCAGTAAGACTCCAGCGCCCATGGACCAACCCACCATTTGGCTTCCTGAAGAAATGCCGGGACCAAGGGAGTCAGACAGCCCCTGGTTTGCCTAAGTTTTCCTGGTTCCATTCCACGCCAGGCCTGGGAGGAGGCTGCAAGGACCCTGACTCAGCTTTGGCCCAGGGGAGAGGACAGTCACGGGCAAGATCTGCAGCTAAACCTGCAGGCGGTCACAGCCCCGGGGGAAGCAGGCATCCGCAGGGGAGCGCGGGGACTCAGACCACCGATGGTGGGGGTTCTCCAGGAAACCCATGGGGTTCTCTGAGCAGGTGTGCTGTAGGCCCCTCAGAGGAAAGGGGGCTGGAGGGGGAGGTTTCACGAGAAAGAGGAATTCAGAGGTCCCGGGGGCAGACAGTCATGGAGGAGGGGAAATGGGGAAGGAAAAGCAGAGGCAGCCTCGCTGGGAACCGGCACCCAGCCTGCTGGAGTGGAGGAAAGTGCAGGGGCTGCTGGGGACCCTTTCCTGGGCTTGCGCACTGGTCTTAGAGTCAGAGAAGCTAGGAACCCAAAATCAGCCTCTTAGATTTCCTGAGCCCAATAATAATAATAATAATAATAATTATTATTATTATTATTATTGTAGTAATGGCAGCAGCACTATGTAAGTATTTGTTGTTATGCATATGAAATAATTTTAAACATTTCACATATGCTAACTCACTTAATCTTTACAACACCCCAGAATAAAGGCACTATTATTATGCCCATTTGAGTTAAGTGATTTACTCTTAAGGACACACATGGTCAGAAGCCCAGTTGGGGTTTGAATTCCACCCTTGACTCCATGTTCCCAACTGGGATGTGATGCTAACCCATTCTCAAAGCACCATCATCAGCTCAGGTTTGCCTGGCTCCAAAGTCTATATTCTCAACCCTGAGCCCGTGCTGCCTCCCAAATAACATCCCTCATTGTGGGAAAAAGGAACAGAGAGGGGCAGCCACTGGCTCCAGGCCACACAGTACATTGATGGCATTGGTGGCAGAGATAGGACGAGACCTTGGGTCTCTTGATTCCCACCCCAGGGCTCTCTGCACCCCACTTCCAGGGCTCATGGAGCTGAGAAAAGGTTCCAGGCCCTTCCACCCCGCAGTGTGCAGCTCACCTGTGCAGGCCACAGCAGCGAAGACCCAGCACTGGCCGTACTTGACCTTCTGGAAGCCGTAGTTCTTCCAGCGCCGCAGGATGTCCACACTGCCGATCCAGAACATGGGGCTGACGCCGTCCGCGTAGTTGTTGTCCCAGCGTCCCAGCAACACACCCTGGTCGTCATTGCAGTTGACCTGCAACCAGCAGGGCACCAGGGGGATCAAGTCTGGGGAGAGGGTGGTGGCCGTGCCAGGATGAGCACAAGTTCAGCACATAGTAAAAGGCAGGGAAGGGAGTTTCAGGATGAGGGAACAGCAGGTGCGAAGGTACCAAGGTGTGACAGGCTGTGTGGTACAGCAGAGATGGTTGGGGCTGGCAGCCAGGGTGCAGGAAAGAGAAAGGGAAGGCAGGAGGTGGAGAGGGGACAAGGCCACGAGGGCGATGCTGGAGATGTGAATGTGTCTACAGGGTGGCACCCTGTGATCTGAGTACAAAGACCAGTTCTGGCTCCTGCCCAGATTGTGTCATTCCCCAACTCCCTTCCCTTGAGGATAAAAATCCAGGCTTCTGCGTGGTCTGGCCCCGGCCTACCACTGCAGCCCTGCCTGCACCCTGTTCCCCCTTGCTCACTCTGCTCCAACACGCTGGCCCCCCTTCTGCTCTTCAAACCTGCCCAAGTCGGCACCTAATCAGGGTCTTTGCACAAGCTGAGCTCTCTGTCTGAAAGGCTCTTCTCCTCCCAGTTAGTATATCTGCTCAGGGATCGTCACTTACGGAGGCTCCCCCCTCCCTCACTGAGGTTAGGCCCTGGGGTCAGACACGCTCACACATCTGGGTTCCTTCAGCGCCTGCATCATTATTTATGACTATGCAACTCATTCACATGACATTTTGGTTAATGTCTGTCTTTGCTCACTCTCCCACTGGAACATAAACTCTATGAAGTTAGAGACCACACATGTCTTAAACCCAGCTGTTTCTCCAGTGCCTGGGACATCGCGGCACTTGATAAATATTTGCTGAACGAATGAATTGCTTTGAGGGATCACATGACATTATCCTCATTTGGGTAAATTTTGTCTTTCTAAATACAAGCTCTCTTAGCTGAGACTCACCCATCCCTTGGGAGCCCCCACTGTGCTCTGTCATGGACCCCTCACTCACCATGGCGCTCACCACCCGGCCCACATAGACGGGGCTGCTGCGGCGGGAGCAGTCGCGGCCACTGTTCTTCAGGTACTTGGGGTTGACGTCCAGGAGCTTCAGGCAGGTGTCCAGGATCTCGTCTTCAAACTGTGTCAGAGGAAACAAGAGGAGGATGAGGGGGGTGAGGAGTCACCTCCTCCAGGAAGTCTGCCTTGAAGCCCAGCGGCTATAGGACCCCTCAGCCTGCCTTACACAGACTGTGATGCCAGCTTCTCCTGGCTGAGGAGGGACTGGGGTGGGACAAAGACTGAGTGTATGAGAAAGGGAAAGGGGGTGTGCCTGCATCCAGGGTCTGACTGGGGGGTCCTGGGGATTTGGAGTAGAGACCATTGAGTGGGGAGCCCAGTGTCCCTGGGGCTTCTCTACCCTCAGAGTCACCTCAGGCCCTGCCAGTGTCCCTTTGCCCTCTCTGCTCAGCCAAATCTCCTACTTCCCCCAAAACCTGACTCACCCTGCAGAGCGGATGAGGGCCCCCTCCTCCCCCACCCCGCCCACCCACACTGCTCTGATTGGAACTGACGTAGATTAGAAAGATATAAATCTACTGGTAATCTCGTCACGCCTCTGTTTCTACCATACTCATTAAAATCTAGATTTCCCTTGTAGCCTGCAGGGCCCTGCATGATCTGTGGCTGGGGTTCCCCTCTTACTGCAGGGCCTTTGGACTGGCCATTTCCTTTGCTTGGATGGAATGCTCTTCCTGCCACTCTCTGTATGGCTCACACCTTCTCATCCTTGCAACTCAAATGTTATCTTTATCAAAAGTAGGACTCCCTCCTTGTCACATCCATTGGACCACGGATCTGTCATGTTCGAAGGCTCTTCCGTCTGCCCCCTGCTCCCCATCTCTATGGCCTTGTCCCAAACCAGGCCTCATCACAGGTCTCCCTCCATGGCTTGAATCCTTTTGTGGCTCCCTATTGCCATCAGCCTGACATTAAGGCCAGTTTCCAACCTGAACACTGCTGACTTCTCCCACTTCACCTCCTGGGGCTTCTTCATAATTACGATGCTCCTCAGGCTACAAGATACTTCTTAGGCATAAATTTTCCCATCTCCAAGCTCTTGCTCGTGCAGTTCCCTTTGCCTAGTAGACATGCACCCACCTCCTTCAAAGCCCAGATCACATGGTGCCTATTTCAGGAACTGCCCTGTCCCCTGTGGGCAATTATTTCCTTCCTTTACATCAGGAGGTTGAGGGGTCAGGGGTGAGATAGTTTTTGCTTCATGAATTTTCTCAGCAATGTCTCAAGAATTTTTATGGAAGGCTGAATGGTAGAGGAAAACAGCAATGGTTTGGAGAACCAGCCCAGGCTGGCCTGGGAGAATGAGAAACCACATGGAACAGAGATGAGCCATCCAGCTGAGGTCAGACAAGTTCAGCCTAGACAGCCATACCCTGGCTGACCCAGAGATTTAAGCCTCTCGGGTTTAGGCTTGTTTGTTATTCGGCAGTAGCTAGCTGATATATCCAGACCAACAGTTCCTAAAGTATAGACATTAGATCAGAAGCATCAGCATCACCTGAGAACTTGTTAAACATGCAGAATCTCAGCCCACACCCACATCTACTGAATCTGAAACTAGGGGTGGGCCCAGTGACGTGTATTTTACACACTTTCCCAGTGATTCTGATGTATATTTAAGCTTGAGGTCCACTGATGTAGATAAAGGTTTAAAGCCCGCTCTCAGCACATGCTGAGCATACAGTAAGTACTCACCAAGTGCTGTCTATTAATTTGATATATGGCCTTGAATGTTCCCCTTCTCTCTCCTGGAATGACTGCCTGCCCACAACTCCTAAAGGCTCCCCTCATTCTTTCCCACCTTGAATATCTGGGGCTGCTGCTCCCATGGCAGGTAGGAAAACCCTTTGCTGTGTGACCTCAGGCCTGGCCTGGACTGTCTCTGAGCCTCCATTTCAGGGAACTTGAATGCTGACAACATGGGGTGGGTGGCTCTGGGGCCAGATCACACTTTTGCAGCTTGACTGTCTCAGACCCGGGGCCCAGCACACAGTGGGTCTGAGATGGTTGGGAGGGGCAGGGTGAGACCATACCTGCCCAAAGTTCCAAGGGATACCATGGATGTACTTGGCCGAACCCTGGTAGATGAAGCCCTGCTGGGCGAGGACGTACTCCTGCCGCTCTTCCTCGGAGTCCAGGTACACAGCATCCGCTGTGGGTGGGAAGGAAGGGCCTCAGCTCTGGGTCTGGTGAGGCCCAGGGTTCCCGCAGACTTGGCATCGGGGATGCCAACTCCCCGGGGCCAGGTCGGCGTCTCAGAAGCCTTTCTAGCATTTAATCTGAAAAACTAATCATTAATACATAATCCCATGTCAATGACAGAGATTATATTATCAGTTAGTGACAACAATGGCGGGCTGCCTTTCATCCAACATTTGTCAAGTGCCCGGATTGGTGATAAGCATGTGGTATATAATAACTTGCTTATTCTCCACAAGAGCCCTATGTAGAAGGGATCCATGAAAGCCCCATTTTACAGGTGGAAAAACTGAGCCTCAAGAATACTTTACGAACGGGAAAACTGATGCTAAAACAAAGGGCAGAGGAGCCCGGGCAGGAGTTGGGAGCCCCTAGCTCTGGTCCTTACTTGCTGTGTGGCCCTAGCAGGTCACCTCTCCTGCTCTGCCCCCCTCTCTGTGTTCCCTGTGTGTACAATGAGTGGCAGATCTGAAAGGTGCTTCGTCAGCTAAAGCCCGAGCCGGCGTGAGGAAGGAGCACTATTCAGGGTGGAGAGAAAGCCAAGGAAGTGTGTCTGCGGTGCTGGGGGGAGGTGGGGTCTCTTCCCCTCGGGGGTTAGGCACAGCCACCTGGAGCAGGTGGCATCTGAGGCCTTGGCGACATGCTAAGCAGGGGACCAGAGACAGCCAAGTTGCAGCAGCTGAAAAATGCAGGGCACTTAGTTCACTGTGACCCGTGAGGACAGACAAGGGGGCGGAGGTAGCCGGGGCCAGAGGGCAGGAGGTCAGATATCAGGCTGGCCTTTACCGTCTCCATGTCACAGGGGAAGAAACGGAGGAAGGGGAACTCCAGAGCCACGTTATGCCTTTGGTGGGCCCTGGGCATTTTTGTTTCCATTAAAAAAAATGTATATATTAAAAATGTATTTCATGCCTGCATTGGTATAATGATGGATCTAGTAATATTAAGACATATTCTCTGGCCTAAACACTTACTGTTTTCTTCTGATTTTAAAACAATTCACATGTTTTTGTGGGCCCCTGAGGAAATGGTGGCCCCAGGCTCTGCCTGAGAAAGCACAGTTGGTGCTCCTGGCAAAGCTGGGCTAGAATGCAGCGGCCGGACCCCTCGGGCCCCGGGCTCCACCGGCCCCTCTGCAGTGACCAGCACCCCCGTTCGTACTGCATGGAGGAAGGCAGATGTGGCAATGGCTGAGTGTCTATGTATCCTGCTCTTTGGCTCCGGAAATTGTGCAATACAAATTAGCCTTACGATAAGTGAACCATGTGGTTATAAATCAGTTGGCAGTGTGGGAAAAAGAGTGAAAGAGAAAGAAATGCCCACAGTGTTTTCCCATCGGAGTGAGCTGGAGTGAGCTGGAGTGAGCGTGTCAGCACGCTGGGTGTCCCCAGCTCAGGTTCCCAGCTCAGGGAAGGGTGGGGCACTGGGGACAGAAGCCTTGCTTGTAACGGGCACTTGATCCTGTCCATGCTGGAGCTCAGGGACAGGGTATCCCCTGTCACGGTCGGATCCTGCCCTCTGCCCCAGAGGGAGAACAGTGTCCTCGTCCAGCCCCACCCCACACAGAGCCCAACTTCCTGCTTTCCAATCACCAGGCCCACTGCTTCCTCGAGGCTCTCACCCTGGGATGTGGGTCACTTCTTTAGTCACTGTGCTGCTTGGCTGACCGCCACGCCAACCCGTGGGCAGGGAGGGGACAGTTCCAGAGGAAGGAGGACATCCCCAGAACCTTGCTCCCTGTTTGCTGGACTCTGCAATCGCACAGTGCTGGCTGGGAGGAGGACACTGCATGTTCCTGCTCCACGGGCTGGGCTGCCAACGGGCTGTAAGCTCTGCAGGTTGTCAGAAATCAAAACAAGCACACATGTGCCTGCTTCGGCAGCACATATACTAAAACAAGCACACAGCGGGCTCCAGCAAGGCCGATTCTGTCCTGAGAAACCATCCCATGTGGCCACGAAAGCAAGGGTGCAACACCCTCCCCATGATGAAACCCTGACGTAGGGGACCAGATGAATGAAAGAGCCACATGGACAGGATATGGTCACTCGGGTGCTCAAAAAGAATGAGCTGATGGCCCAGCTGGTATGGCTCAGTGGTCGAGCATCGACCCATGAACCAGAAGGTCACGGTTCGATTCCCGGTCAGGGCACATGCTCCGGTTGCGGGCTCAATCCCCAGGAGGGGCCGTGCAGGAGGCAGACGATTGATGATTGCCTCTCATCATTGATGTTTCTCTCTCTCTCCCCTTCTCCCTTCCTCTCTCTGAAGTTAATAAAACCACATAAAAAAATGAGTCTCTGTGTGCAGATGAATGTGGAAAGGTCCTCAAGACATATTGTAGAAGAAAAACAACCCAGTAGGTTGATGTATTTGTGGGATCCTTTTACATTAGAGGAGACAGAGGAGCTCAATGCAGTGATATCTCCAGGCACATGTGCCCAAATCTAAGGAGATGAGCCCCCCATGGTGGCTATGATGGTGTTCCCCAAGGAGGGGTGACAAGGGGTGGCTGTCTCTGCAGTGCTTGAGGTTTTATAAAGAGGACGGTCTCCTGTCTTACTGTTATAATGAGAAATAAAAGCCAAAGTATGTAAAAGAGAAAATAAAACATCTTTCTGCTCAAATATGTTATCAAATACCCCCAAATGGAGAAGAAAAAAAAATAAAGCAATGGCCTGTAAGAAGCTGGTTATCTGAAGCTGGAGAGACCAGGATTTCTGCCCTGGGCCGAGACTTTGAGGGGAGACACCGGTTCCTAGGCTGAGACCCACCCACAAGGCCTCCCTCTCTGCCTTGCTGTGTAGGAGCAGGAAGGAAACCCAGCCGACTGCCTTGTTAGTCAGATGGGAAAACTGAGGCCCAAGAGGCGTTGTGGCAGCCCCTGCCTCCTCCCACCTGCTCAAGTTGGCCTCGGTCCTCCCGAGTGTCCCCTCCGACTCCCCAGCTTCGTCCAGCCTGGTCCACTTACTTCCTGAAGGAGCTGCCAAAAGCCCCCTCACTTCTCTGAGCCTCAGTTTCCTGCCTGTGACATGAGGCCCCTGACCTCTCCCCCCGCGCTGGTTGAGAGGAATAATTGAGAGGGTGTATGCGGAGACACTTAGATAAAACTGCTCCTGCCCCCCTCTCCTGGCTACCCCACCCCACCACCTCCTCGGTTTCCTCTCCTCTTGCCGGTCTGGTGAGGTTTAAAACAGAGCCCTGTGAAACAGTACCAGGTGGGAGCCATGGGCACCCCATTCCTAAGTAGAGTTTCAGAACCCGGCCACCTCCACGCTCAGCTCACAGTGCCATGGGGACATGCGGACAAGACATGGGCTAAGACCGCTTGGTGGCTCTGAGGCTTTGGCAAGTCATTGTGCTTCTGTGAGCCTGTCTCCTCCTCTATACATGGGAATAAGAGGAGTCCTCACATCGCAGGGTTCGGGGGAGCTGAGCACAGAGCTGCACAGGGTGGGCCTCACTCAGTCCACCTTGATGTCTCTTCTGCCCCATCTCCCACCCTCAGTAGCTCTCATGGTGGGTCTGGCCCTGCCCACCTCCCACCTGCCCATGGATGGAGTGCACCTCACCTGGGCACCAGGGGTTGAAGAGCAGGGTGAAGTTGCCCAGCATGAAGCTGGAGCCCTGGTAGCCGGTGGAGGCCTCCATGCTGAGGCGGTATAGGCCGATGGGGGCGTGAGCTGGGGCAATGAGCTGCAGCGAGAGTTCACTGTCCTGCTGGTCTAACACTGAGGCCGTCCAGGCACCCTCCTCCACGGCATCGGACAGCGGGAAGCGGGCCTTGGTCCCGGCCTCCTGGCTGGGGGCTGGGCCTGTGGAAGGAGAAAGCAGGGGCCATGAGCCAGGGGTGGGCAGGGAGGGAGGGAGGGAGTCAGGACTGGCAGGGGCCTGGCACATGCCAGGGGTCCTTGGGCCTGGATTCAAGGCCTAGTTATGCCACTAACCATGGAGAGAACTTTGGCAGGAGATTTCATCTCCCCGAACCTTGGTTTTCCCATCTGTAAAATGGGGATCAAACCCCACCCTTGGAGGGTGGTTTTGTAGGAATGCACGACAAGCTATAGACAGATTCCTCCTGGGAGAGGGGTCAGTGCAGCCTGGGGCAGGGTCCGTCACGCTGCTCTGGGCTGCCATGGCTTTGGACAAGCCCATCCCCCTCCCCGTTTGCCCGCCTGCAGCAGGGACAGGAATTGGGTAGGTGCCCCCCGGGGGCCCGCCTTTCCTGCCGAGTTCCTTTACCCACTGACGTCCTTCTTCCCTTTCAGGAAAAGAAACCCAGGCTCCGAAGAGGATAGGCGGGGTCCCTGGTGGCCTCTCCAGCCTTTGGCCTCTGGATCTCCATGACAGCTCCGAGGAGTGCTCACAGCCGTCTCTCACCTGCCCATTGCCCTTTGCACTTTATGAAATGCCTGGGCACTCCCTGCTTCCCCCAGGCCCCCTTGAGGGGGGAAACTGAGGCTACCCCCGGGTCAGAAATCAAAGCAAGTATGCATGTGCCCGCTGTGTGCTTGATTCAGTATCCCTGGGCGGGGTCGGCATCTGAGCCCAGGTTCCTGGGCTCTGGCTGTCCCCTCAGCACCTCTCATTCCCAGAGGATGCTCCCTGGGGTGTGTGTGTGGGGGGTCTCAAGGCTCAGGGAGGTAGAGGAGCTGCCTCAAATAGCTGCTTTTTCAGGTGGAGGGGCGGGCCTGGCCCATGCAGGCAGGACTGAGTCATGGGGAGGGCGAGGGCGGCTGGTCTCCCTTTCTGGACTTGGGTGGCGGAAAAGAGAAACAGAACCTTCTCTGCTGGACTGGGCAGCTGCCCAGGAAGGTTTATTTTTAATCGTCCACCCTCTCCCTGCAGCCCAGCCCACTGCTGCTGACAATACTGGGCCTGCTCACTGAGGGGCTCCCTCCCGACACCCAGCCACCATCCACACCCAGGCCCAAATATAATCATGAACTAACAGGCCTGACACTGGCCTCCGGGACCCTGTCTGGGTGCCAGGAGTCAGCAGTGAGCCTTTAAACGCTCCCAGGCTTCCACAGTAGGCATTTGAGGGAAGAGTCCAGCAGTACTGGGGCCCGAGAACCTATCTGGTTCTGGCTCCCCCACTCAGGCCCTGAGCGCTGTGTGACCTGAGCTAAGTCACCAGGCTTCTCTAATCTGCAATTTTCTCATCAAAGAAGAAAATAGGTTTAGACCACATGCCTGGGAGGGTCTGATTCCAGGTCTGAAACTGGCTCTGTAACCTTGGACAGCTATGTAGCTTCTCTGTGACTCGGTTTCTTCATCTGTAAAATGGAGCCAATTGCACTACCTCTTCACAAAGTCAGTCTGAAGCTTAAAGAAGATGAGGCATGTCTCAGAAGGTGCCTGGCACATTGTAAGTGCACAATAAACAAAAGTTACTGTGTATTGTCGCCTCCACCTCCTAACACTCTTTAGAGGATTCAGTGAGAGTTTATAGAAGGCATTTAAAACAGTGACTAGGAAGTAGTAATTACACAGAAATGTGAGCTATCTTCAGTATTATCAAAAGGGACCATTAAAGCCCAGCTGGCATGGCTCAGGGTTGACCGTCGACCTGTGAACCAGGAGGTCACAGTTTGATTCCCGGTCAAGGCACATGCCCAGGTTTCGGGCTCGATCCCAAGATCCCAAGTGTGGGGCATGCAGGAGACAGCCCATCAATGATTCTCTCTCATCATTGATGTTTCTCTTTCTCCCTCTCTCCCTTCCTCCCTGAAATCAATTGTATATATATATATATCTCCTAGAGTGCTGGGGAGCGCAATCGCGCTCCTCCTGTCTTTCGCCAAAAGTGCCAGGAGCGCTATCAAAGCTTCGAAATGGCGTCCAGTTCTAAGTCTGCTTTTATTAGTGATGATGATATTGCTAAATATGTCAATGTAGTAAAGGTTTCCTTAAGTTTTTAAATATGTAACTTCATTTACTTGCGATTCATAATTGTTTTCCTAAACTGCTGTAAAATCAGCAAAAAACGCCTTGGCAATTTTAGCATAGTTCCTAGGATATTGGTTGGCACTCAAAGGGTTAAGGGGGACCATTAAAAATCAGCATTCTCAGGCCATATAACATTTTGAAGACTGGAATAAAATGAAAACTGAGGCAAGAGGGGTAAAGTCGGGGTGACCCCATGTTCCAGTTTGCCGGGACAGTCCCAGTCTATGCCTGTAGTCCTAGTATAATTATTAATGGCATCCCTTTCACTCTCAGAATTGTCCCTGTTTGGAAGATCAATGATCTGGTCACCACGGTTACAACCTGGGCCAGGTCCCATAGCCACAGTCACTATTGACATACCAGCCCCAGGGAAAGGTCAGGAAACACACTTTCCTTTCTCTCTGTCCCAGGACAACGGAGCACCTAGGCGTGCCCCGCGCCCCCCCCCCCCCCCCACACACGGCCATTTCTTCCAAGGGGCCTGGAGGGGGCGATGAGGACAGGCTGTCCCCCAGGCTTCACCGCGGCTCACGTAAACTGGCTTTGAAAGTTCCTGGGTTGCGGTTCCACACTGCACTCTTGTGGGGCCAAAGACACTGCAGGGACCCCCTGGGCCTAAATGACCCTGGGGACCTGAGGGTCCTGGGCACTATCCCAGACCAGGGTGGCAGGAGGCCAGGGGTGGTGGCTGAGGGGAACCGTCCAGAGCAAAGCCTTCTATTAGCCTCATAAGAGCTCTTTTCACTCCTTCTGGCTGGTCTCACTCCCACCCCACTCACCCTCACGCCCTGGCCCTCCCTTGGAGGGAGCGTAGCTTTAATCTGGTAACAAAGGTGGTGTTTGTCTCCTGTGGTCTGTACCCCATAACAGAGCCTGTCAGGTCTCGGACTGTCTGGGTGGAACACGCAGCCCTCGGGGATGTGTGGGGTCAGGCCACACACTTCATTCCATGGGTGACTTGGCCAGCGATCTGCCCGCTCTGGGCTTCAGTTTCCCTGAAGAGGTAGGACAGGAAGATCCCAAGGGAGAATGTTCCAACATTCTAGGGTGCCCAGGGGCTGGGCGCTGACACCAGCCAGGCCTGGAGTTGGGAGGCCTGGCTTCCTTCTATTGTCCTTCAGGATTCCCCGGCCCTGGGGAGGGTCTCAGTTGCTCAGACAGGGGAAGCTGTGTGCATCCAGAGAGACTGTGACCTCCGTCCGTGGCTGCCCGCAGGGGCTGTGGAAGTGGCCAGGGCAGGTTGGCTACGGTTTGAGATAATTTGGCAAAGACTGGAGAACAGAGATTAGTTGTTGGGGTGGGAAGGCTGGTTACCTTCAGAACCCTGAACTTGGAACCCTAACTACCTAACACTTAGATAATTGAAGAGAAAGAAAGGGGACACCTTGAAAAAGAAAGAAGAAAAAAGGAAGGGGGGAAATCCCAGGCTGCCAGGCTGGTAGTTGTCTACCGTTCCATTTCACAGAGGAATACACTGAGGCCTGGCAGGCACTTGAAGGTGCCTGCTGTGGGGTCACAGTGATGAGAAACTTCAACTCTAGGGTCGGGTTTGAGTTTTCTTTTCTCATAGACACCGTGTGACCCGTGCAAGCAACGTGACCTTTCTGAGCCTCAATGTTCCCATCTGTAAAATGGGGCTCCTTATGCTTCCCAGATGGGGGGATTTAGAATGGGAATGCAAACAGTAGGTGCTCCATAGATGTGATTTTCATCATCCTACGCTTGACTCTTCTCAGAGCACCACTGTTACGTACTCCAACCTGCTACTTTACAGAAGGGGAACTGAAGCTAGAAAGATCAGAGACTAGCTGGAGGCCCTTTGTTAGAAAGAGCCCCATAAGTGCTGGGTGTGTGGGGGTGACTTTGGGTAGTGGGTGTGCCCCTGCCCAAAGCGGAAGGGGAGGAAGGAAAGGGATGAAGGGGATATCCGTGGCCAGTCTGCAGGCGCTGTGATAAGCCTTATCAAACGGCCTCCCAGGTAAATAAATACAGGCCTCAGCCAGGTGGGTGCAGCTAGTTCCTGCTCGCTGCTCTGCCTGCCCCCAGTGACCTCAGAAAGAGCTGCCCTTTCCCACCCTTGGGCCAGAGTCCCAGCCAGGTGGCCCCTCGATGACCTCAAAGGAGTGGTTCCCACTGGAAACCAAAGCAGCGGATTCGGCATTCAAAGCCACTTTCCCAGGCACGGGCATGGGCATCTGGGGATCGGGTGGCTGGGGTCTCGATGTCCCTTTACCCATCACTGGAGACCCTGGAGCAAGATCAGCAACAGCCACTAATGTCAACAGGGCACTCCCCCAACTAAGGCCCTTCTCACTTAACCACCCTTCACCATGACTGCTTTTCACACGATAACTCAGGCTCAGAGAGGCTAAGCAACTCACCCCAGGTCACACAGCAGGTAGGCAGCCCCGTCTGCACCAGAACCCAGGTCTGTCCGTGCAGCCCTGAGCCTGAGGCAGCCTCCCTAGGGCTGGAGCCAGCTGGGTTCTTTCCAGCACCCAGACCTCATTTGGGCCTCATTTGGGCCTGATCCCAGAGGCCTGGCCGGGTTGCGTGGATTTTGGGAAGCAGCTATTGATAAGAGCTGGAAAGTTGTTTTGATGTGGAAACGAGCACGAAAGATCTTGACCCCAACCCTGATAACAGGTGTTTAGGAACCAAGGTGTCCAGAAGCTCAGACTTGTTTACAAAGCTGCGTGTCCTTGGGTGACGTCTCTCTACTTTCTGCACCTCAGTTCCCTCATCTGGGAAACGGGGCTAGTGACCGCTGGGGATTTTCCAGGGGGGCAAAGAGGAATGGAGTCACCTGCTCCATTGTCTGTCAGGGGACAATCAAATCACAGAACAGGACAAGTTCAGGCTGTAGGGGGTGTGAAGGTACTTACCAGTTGAGACACTGAAGGTGAGGCGGTCCACACTGGCCTCATAGCTTCTGCCCTGAAAATGCAGCGTTAGCCGAAAGTACTGGCCCCTCCGTATCACCAGCCTCTCCCGGCACAGGTCTGCCGTGTGGTGGTCACGGCCATTGGCCTCCAGCTCCAGGTCCCATTTCTCCACATTCAGATCTACGGAGACAATGAGGGGCATGAGTCCGGGGGGCATCCCTCGGCCAGCTACGACCCCCTACCATGCTCCTTCCTTAGTACAGTGTCTGGTGCATAATAAATAATTAGTAAACTCCAGCTATTCTATCATTATTGGGTGTTTTTTTTTTTTTGGTGTGTGTGTGTGTGTGTGTGTGTGTGTGTGTGTGTGTTTTGTTGTTAAAGCAAGGGCAGTATTTGGGATAGGTTAATTACACAGGCTTGCCTTTTAGTTTCAATTTTCAATTTATAGGAAATACAGAGGACTGAGGAACATTTTAAACAAAGAACCAGGACACAACAAAATTCACACTGAGGGAAACAAAAGGCAAGGCCCTTGGTTTCTTTAACAAATGAAAATGGGGGTGAGTTAAAGGGAGAACCTATAGATTATGAGGAATTTTAGAGACATTCCAACCGTTGTGCTATCAGATTAAAAAAACACACAACTACTTAAAACACTTATTACATGTATGAGACAACTGGAAATTTGAATAGTAATGGAATAATGGTGATGTTAAGGAATTTTTGTTCATTTGTTTACATCTAAAAAAGAGGCCTTATCCTTTGGAGACATATATTGAAATATTTACAAATGAAACGATGCTTCCAAATAACGGGGAGGCGGTCAGACGAGGGTGCAGGAGGCAGGAGCAATTATAGGCTAGTGGCGGTTGAGACTGATGAGGCAAGCACATTTATTATGCCATCTCTCCGCTTAAAAAAATGTTTTTATTGATTTCAGAGGGAGGAAGGGAGAAGGAGAGAAGAGAGAGATAGAAACGTCAGTGATGAGAGAGAATCACCAATCCATCAGCTGCCTCCTGCATGCCCCCTACTGGGAACTGAGTCTGCAACCTCCTTGGCACGTGCCCTGACCTGGACTCGAATTGTGACCTTCTGGTTCATAGGTCGACGTTCAACCACTAAGCCACACCAGCAGGGCTCTCTATTCTTTTATGTTTGTTCAATATTCTCCATAATACAAGGTTTTTAAAATGATGGGGATTTTGGAGTCTTCTGGGTCTAGGTTTCAGTTCTGTTGTGCAGCTGTGTGACCCTGGACAGGTGTCTCTCCCTCTCTGTGCCCCCTTCGCTCAAGCCTCAAAGGGCTGCAGTGAGTTCTAGCAGAGGATGTTGGGGATGTTGGGACACCCTTTCCCCAGGGCTTAGCTCAGGACAGGAGCTGACGACCAGGCAGGGGTAGGGGTGCTGGGATGGGTGGGGGTCTGAGGGAAGCACAAACTTCATAAACCTTGGCAAGCTCAAGGTCAAGATTGGGAAGCCCACGGGGTGGGGGAAGAGGGCAAGACAGACTCTCAGAGTTGTGGGGCCCTTGGGAAGTATGTGGCCAACTGAGGCCCAAGGGTGGGGATTTGCCCAAAGTCACCCTGCGAGTCAGTCCTTCCACGGGGACATCAATTCAGGTCTCCTGCCTCCTGCCATGGAATATCCCAAAAGCGAGGCGCGAAGTGCCCAGCGACGGCAGAGGTAGGCATTATGTGGCCCCAGGTCCCACGGCAAATGGCAGCGTTGGGGTTTGAGTCCAGGGCTGTAGATTCCGGAGCCTGCACTAGTAGCCACCTCGCTCACAGCTCAGGGTTTGTTCTCCATCTTCCCGCCTCTCCTCCCTTCCCCTCTTCCACTGTGTCCTGTGTTATTCTCCCGCCAGGGAGGGGACACCGGGAAGCCGAGCCCCTGCAATCACTGCGGGAGAGACCTCCACAAGGAGCAGAACTTCCGCTGGCCTGCTTTGCAGGAGAGAGAGCTCTGCTGTCCCCCTCCGGGAGACGGCCAGTCCCTGCTCTGAGGCTATTGTCTGGAGAAGGATTTCCAAAAGTCATGCCCAGCTTAAAGGCTCAGAAACCCCAGGGTCTGAAATCACAGGATGTCTGCACGGAGGAAGGACCCGAGGCCTTCCAGCCCGGGGGACTCCTGTAGGAAGTGGCCCCTCGGGCACCGGGGTGGGAGGCTCATCATAACTGTCATCTCCAAGGCCACCGAGCCCCACTCTTGGGGATGGGGATACGGAGCTGCACTGGGGACAAGGGCCACCTTAGCGACATGCCACAGCCGGTCCTGAGTTGGTTTTCCATCCCACACCCTGGGAGCTGCGTCCCAGAGAAGGACCTGAGATCACACAGCAGGTCAGGCAGGTTCATGGTTCCTCCCACTCATCTCTGCCCCAAATGGCCCCTGGCCCTGTCCACATTCCCTCTCCCCCAGCTCCTTCCCGGACTGCAGTGTGCAGGGGTCATTTCAAATGGAGACCCGACCCAAGGGCGCGTCGGGATGCTGGCTCCAGCAGCATTACTGCAGGGACCTCCTTCACTGTAGAAATCCCCTCCCCTGGCATATGGCATGGTAGCACTGCGTGTGCGTGTGTGTGCGTGTGTGTGTGTGTGTGTAGGCAGGTGGGAAATTAATTGAGCCCCTTTTCCACTCCTCTCAGCCCTCACAGATGTACCAAGGACTGGCATTACACCCATAGTTTACAGAAGGGAGCCCTGGCCGGGTCGCTCAGTTGGTTAGAGCATTGTCCCAATAAGCCAAGGTTGCGGGTTCAATTACTGGTCAGGGCACATATAAGAATCAACCAATGAAGGTATTAATAAGTGGAGCAACAAATCCAGGCTCCTCTCTCTCTCTCAAATCATTTTTTTTAAAAGAACAGTTTACAGAAGGGGAAACTGAGACTCAACAAGTGGCCGAAGACTAGGGTTGCAGAACTTGAGAGCCAGCGGGACCTAAGGACATCCTGCTCTCAGCCCACTCCCCACAGGATGCTGGAGCCTCCTCTCTGGCCCCGGCCAGGGTCGGCTTGCACACCGCCTAGGCCAGCAGGCACGCCTCCTCGCAGCTGGCAGGGACTCCCCAAAGCTAAGTGTTCTGAGGCCAGGCCAACAGCCCCTGCACAGCCTTATGCCACTTGACACACAGCAGGACCCAGCCCAACTAACTGACTGAGGACAGGAACAATGTCCACTACACAGCACTTTACAGGTCACACACGCCTTCATGTTCCATTGCCTCATCTGACCCAGGCAGCCAGGGGTCAATGACTATGCCCTGGGGATGGGGAAACTGAGGCCCCAAGCCCAGCCAGGACTGGGAGCCAGGCAGCCCTCACCCAGCCCAGACCTCATGTTGCTCTCCAAGATTTGAGCCCCAGCCTGTCCTGACCCCGGCTGCACTGGCTTAGCACCAAGACCAGGGAGGGACAGCCAGGCACAGGGCTCCTGAGGAGTGGCAGCCCTGACCCTAATACTCACCCTCGGCCATGGTCAGGGTGGCAGTGTCTCCTGGGACTGGTGGCAGGACCCTCCGGGTGTGGACCACTGGCAGCCGCTGTGGGGAAGGCTGAGCGCAGGGAACTTATAGCCCGCTTGGGGCCGGGCCGGGGGCGGGGCCGAGCGGGAAGGCGGGGACCTGGTGAGGCTGCTATTGCCCAGTCTGGGCCCACGCTCTGGGCTGGCCGCTCTGGGCTGGCCGGCCTGTGCAGGAGCCCCAGAGGGAGGAGGGAACGGTGGCCAGGCAAGGGCTCCCCCTGGGGGAGCAGACAGTGCAGGGCTGGGACAGCAAAGACACACAATTAAATCAGAACACAGACACATCTGGACCCACCGTGTCAGACCTTGGGTAGCAGACACCTGGACAGAAAAATACGCACATACAGATACAGACCCATGTGGAGCCCACACAGTCACAGACACACTCCTACACATACAACAGACAAACCTGGACATGCAGTGACATGGACACAAAATCAGGTTAAAAGCATGGAGACATGCCAGGACATAGACAAGAGCAGACACACAGGCACCCACCAGGAGCCACATATAAATACACAGGTGTCCAGATGCACCCAGCTCACAGACACACACAGACACCAACATGCCATCAGATATGGACACAAAAGCAGATTGGGACATCCACAGGCATGCAGATGCTCAGAGACGGTCACACATGCAGACACAGCCTCGTGTACAGATGCAGACATACCCACAGAGACAGGCACGCCTCTTCCTGGAGCAAAACCCAGGTAATCTGCCCATCTCACCCATTCCTCAGATGATAGATCTAATCTATCCACCCATCCATTGCCCACCCATTTATCTAGCCATCCACTCACCCAGCCGTCCACTCACCCCTACCTGCTTCCCATCCTCCCTCCATTCCCATTCACTATCATCCCTGCAGGCCCACTGTGTGCCAGAAGGAAGCAAAGAAAACTTTCCAGGAACTCAACCTCGGACCCTTCCCACTAGCATCCAGGGCAGGGGGGTGGGGCATCGCTCCTCCTGGGCCCTCTAGTCCCCCAGACTCCTATGCTTCTTACCCACCGTGAGGTCTGAGCAAGGCGGGTCCCTGGAGATGCAGGGGCCTGGGGCCTCCCCCAGCCCTTTTTCTAGAATAACTTCCATATCTCTTGAGGGATTTCAGCTTCAGAACTGGTCCCAGTTTCCATTCCCGTGGGACAAAGTGCAGGAAACAAGCCTGTGTTGTTTTAATGGATGTTTGTCCCTGGGTCGAATGGGCCCTGCCTGGGTCTTGGTGAACAGACTCATGACACAGCGTTGAGTCCTGCTGACCTGTAAAAGGAGTGAACCTCGCTCGTAACTGCCCGGTTTTACAGATACTGTTACAGAAACTGTCTCCTGCAACTGGCGAGAGCTCAGAGGAAGGAGCAGGATGAGTGAGCATCAATCAAGAAGCCAGTGCCCACTCTGCCCTGACCAGCTGTGTGGCCACGGGCAGGTATTTCAGCTCTCCAGACCTCAGTTTCCCCCTCTGCCAAATGGGGGCAAGAATTCGTCCCTCTCAGGCCTGGAGTAAGGCTCAATCAAAATGACCGAGGCCGAGACCTAGTATATAGTGCGCACTTGATAACCGGGTCCCTGATTTTTGGAGCAAAAATGCCAAGTGGCCCTGAGGGACAGCAAAGGCTCCGGTGGCCAGGGGGCCCTTGCCCTGCTCTGGGCCTCAGTTTTTCTATCTGTTCAGGGGGACTGGGAAACCCTGCCTGTCTTACGTAATTGCACAAGTAATGATTCAAAACTCCAGCTTACTGAGGGGAAAACTGAGGCCCAGGGAGGGTGGTCATGGGCTCAAGGTTCCCCTTCAGAACAGACAGGGGCCTTCATCATTTTGTGCAAGGGAAGTGCTGTACAATGGTTAGAGCGGGCTGTGTTACTCTGGGCAAATTACTAGACGTGTCTGAACCTCAGTTTCCTTCTCTATCAAATGGGTGTAATAAGAGTCCCCCGCCTCTGCGGTTTAGAGACAATGTCTGTTCAGTGCTGAGCATATGGTAGATGCTCAATAAATGGTACCCAAAACATTTTATGTGCAAGTTAAGATCGGGAGTCCCCTTCCTCCACAAAAGTGAGGTACTTATGTGTGGGTGGAGCAGGTGGCAAGCAATGTAGACTGTGGGGTGCTCAGAAGAACGCCCTGCCTCCCAAATAAGTCTTATACCCAGGGTCACGGATGCAGGGGCCCCACTGTTAGAGAGTCACTCCTTCACTTCCTTAAGGATTTCCAGGCCTTGAGGTAGAGATAAAGGTGGCATTTTAGAACTTTTGAATAACCCATTACCAGCCAGATGCCCCACTTAAATCTCACAATACGATTTTTGTCATTTGTTAAATGAGGAGACTGGGGCTCAGGGAGGTGAAGTGACTTGCCCAAGGTCACAGAGTGAGGAAGTGGAGGGTAGAGTCTGGCCTTGGTTCAGACGCCGACACTGACTCTTCCATGGCTCAGGGATCGGCCCTATATCCTGCCACGCCCACCCTGCTTCTGATCCGTGGTGTCTGGTGGGCAGTGGACATTCAATACATGTTTTTGGCATGAGAGAGAAAGATGAGTCAGAGAGAACTGAAGGGAAACTAGAAGGAAGGAAAGGAAGAAAAACTAAAAGATTCAGATTCAGATACAGACAGGTTGGGGAAACTGCCCGAGATCACGCCGCACAACTGGGCTCCCAGGCCCTGGCTCAGCTGAGCCGTTCCCCAAGGACGAGGGGTCCCTACACAAGAGATGGCCCTGGACGGCTGAGCTGAGGGGAGAGGGAGACGGGATAGTGTAGGTGGGACTGTGATAGGCATTTGAGGCCTCAGTTTTTCTACCAACTGGTGACTAATGGCAGATGAGCAGCGTCTGGCATGAGCCAGTCCAGGGAGGGAAGGACCAGACTCCCTGAGGAGGGATGGGCTGAGGTAGGGGTGAGAACAGGAGACTTGGAGAAAAGGTCAAGAGGTAGGTGTGACCTTTCATGCCCTCTGAAAAAGAGCATGGCTGGTGGCCTGTGGAGGCAAGATCTCCGTGCCCCAGGTGGTGGGGAGCAGAGAACAGTGCCCTTGATCCGGGTGGCCCTCCCAGTGTGTCCATTTTTAAAATGGAAAAACTGACTTGCTCATGGTGTCCTCGGCTCCACTGTCATACCACATCCTTCTCCCGCTGCCCCTGTCCCCTGTGTAGGGTCTCAGGCCCAACTATGCCACTTAAGCTCTGTGGGCTATGAGCCCATTGAGGCTTCAGTTTCCATTTCTGTAAAAGCAGAATCAACCCAGCCAGTGTGGCTCAGTGGTTGAGCATCAACCCATGGACCAGGAAGTCATGATTCGATTCCCAGTCAGAGCACATGCCCAGTTTCAGGCTCGATCCCCAGTAGGGGGCGTATACGAGGCAGCCATCATTGATTCTCTCTCATCATTGATGTTTCTATCTCTCCCTCTCCCTTCCTTTCTCTGAAAATCAACAAAGACATATTTAAAAAATAAGTAAATAAAAGCAGAACCCCAACCCAGCCCCCAGCACCACAGGACGGTCACAGTCCGCCTTGTCTAAGGACCAGTGTGTGGGCGCCTCTGTCTCCCTCCACCCCCCCTGGCTTTAGTGGCTGCTCAACAAATGTTTGTTGAATAAATAAGTGACCTGTGGCAGAGAGAGAGAGAGAGAGAGAGAGAGAGAGAGAGAGAGAGAGACTTGTCCAGCCCGGGGCCAAGTTCTGGAGGTTAGCCAAGCTCAGAGCCTTGGTTGGCGAGATCTGTGGTACCAGCTGTCCATGGCAGAACCAGGCTCCAGGGTGTGGTGCTGGGGCCTCTCACAAGCCTTGGTGCCTCCGTCAGAGATAAGCAGTCTGAGCCCAACGTACTCTCCAGTCACATCTGTCACAACCCCGGGGTAGAAGGCCCTCTGCTGAGCCTCAGAGGCCTCGGGCAGACCATCTTCCCGGTCCCACAGCAAGTCAGGGCAGACTCAGGTGCTCCAGACCCTGCAGAAAAACCAGAACTGGCCCTGCACCTCTGTCCTCGCTTTTGAACGTTTAGAAAGCTGCTTGCACTCCATTTGCCAATGGGAACTGCATTGTAATGGGAGTGGGATAGAACATGAGGTTCGCCTGGTGTCATCAATGCTGAATTGGCGTGACAAGGACCGACATGGAGTTCGAAAGCTCCACGCTCCACCCCAGGGCTCCCTCTCATTGGCCTCAAATATCAGTCTCCAAAGCAAAGAACTCAAAAGGCTTGGCCCACTGGGCTCAGAGAAGGAGATGCTAAGAAGTGAAAGCCCCTTCCAAGGAGAACAAGTTGAGTCTAGTATTGTTGTCACCATTAAGTGCTTCCATTTCTTAACTGTCCAGACACCCCAGGGAATGGGGAGTGTTAGGATTTTTTTGGAGAGCGGAGTCCTGCCCATTACAGGCAGTAAAATGTGCTTTACTCATAGGAAAACCCGCTTCAGACCCTTACTCACAACCAATTATCACTTACTTGGCGTACAATTTTAATCAAAATGCAACATCCTAACCTGATCCAGCAGTCCCCAAAGATGAGACGTTAAGACATTAGGATTGGGGAGAAGAAATACCGGACGTGGGAGGTACCCAGGGAGGGAGATGTCGGAAAAGACTCACAAGAGGAACCAGGACCTCTGACGTTGGTAACATCTGGGGCCACTGGGAGTTGGGCAAACTGTCCTGCTCACTATGCCCAGCCTCACAGGGCAATCAGCAGCAGTCATGACAGTGACCTAGAGCAGTGGTCGGCAAACTCGTTAGTCAACAGAGCCAAATATCAACAGTACAACGATTGAAATTTCTCTTGAGAGCCAAATTTTTTAAACTTAAACTGTATAGGTAGGTACATTGTTATAAACTTAATTAGGGTACTCCTAAAGCTTAGGAAGAGCCACACTCAAGGGGCCAAAGAGCCACATGTGGCTCGAGAGCTGCAGTTTGCCAACTACGGACCTAGAGGCATCCTATGAATAGAGACTTTGTGATGAGCACATCGGGCCTATGAAACACGTTTCACTCCCTTCCTGCTTCTAGCAGAAGCATGGCTCAGCTACAAGGACACAGGCTTGGGGGTCAA